GTTATAATGGTTCTTGACCAATGTAAAAAATATTCTACAAACACACATTATGATTCATCAGGAGGAGATGAGGGAATGTCAAATAGTTTCATTGTTAACGAGGCACCAAGAGTAGAATTATACCAATTTGTGGTAGTTAGTGTTTAGACATCATTTTAGTCTGGGCAGCCACATACCTTGACTTTCGTTCTGAATCACAGTGATCTAAAGTTTGAATAAAATGCTCCAAAGATTTGGCATAAAATTCCTCATCTTAAACTACATGTAAAATTAAAATCTAGGAAGAAGTTATTAATTCAGTCATCTGGCAGATTCAGCACATGAAGTAAACACTAAGTATAAATATGAAAAATTATAGTGTGGTCACTGTCTTATGTAATGGTATGTATGCATCCCTGAAAAGTGTTAAATCAGTTTGGCTATTTCCTTTTATCTATTTGTTAATGATATAGTACCCATTAATCTTTTTTCAGGTAAATTTCTCATTTATAATTTTTCTGTGTGTGGCAGAGAAATAGACCTGCTTTTCAATGCAGCTGTAGATCTATCTTTTGTGATTTCAAGGAATTGCCTCATTCTTTTGATTCAGCTTTCATCACCAATCAATGACACAATCACAGATGGAGAGGATAACTAGTCATCATGAACAGATATCTACACATTTCAATTGGAAGCTGCGTTAAATAACTATTTCCAGGATTTCTGAAATGCTGCATAGTCTTATTTGGATTGTATTCCATTACATGCACTCATTCCTTCTGCAAAGAAAAGAATGTACTGATACTTTTAAGGAATGGGGCAAACTTTCTTCAAGTTAATTGATTATAAAGACACATAAATAAGGGAAGCTTAAGGGTGGTTGTGGGAGATCAGCAAATGTGGAAAATAATTTTATGGTGTGAGGATTAAGATATGAGATCAGATGGATGTTGGGGAGATCGTGTGCTTTTCAATTTATTATTTAATTCAATATTGTAGTAACAATTAAAAAACTCATCAGTGTTTGATAGGTGTGTTTCGGGTGAAGATTATATAAAAGTCAAAGAATAAGTAAATTTTCTGTGCTAGGGTTGAGAGTAGAAGTGGAGGCCCTGTCCTTAAATAATGCAAATATTGCAAATATAGTTCCAAAGATTGATACTGTGCTTCCTTGTTAAATGCTATCTGGTTACTGTCCAAACATCTTATTTTTTAGAATTACATTTGGTATGAATTTTTGCAAAATGGGCTGTGACTGTTTTCATTCACTGTGACAGATATGTGCTATATTTTGTGTGTAGCCAGCCAATTCAGACTTGCAAATTCTAGGTTCCTTCAATTAAACAATGCAATCTATCAGGATCTCCAAAATAGCACCCTCTGTAACAGTAACTATCCCTTGGAATGAGGTTCCTCAAGATCCAGAGGGCCCAGCTCAGTTGTTACTTAGAAGGGCCATGTAAACCTGGCTCTTCATCCAGGCCTTTGGTAAGTGAAAGTGGGATTCCTTGTATCTTTCATTGTTGCCAATTTTAGGTTCCCCCCACTTTCTTTTAAATATAATATTGTATTATATTTGATTGTTGGGAGCAACCCAATTGGGGAGGCGGGAAAGGTTAGGTGGCATGCAAGTTTAACAATAAATATATGATACTGTCAACACATTCCAAAATTGGAAATTCCATACTTGGATCAATTTCCAACCTTTTTCTGCAGAAAAAAGCAACCTTTTGTGGAAAGAAAAATCTAGTGGAACAAATGATTACCTTTTTGCACTATTACAGAGGAACCAGCATGAATCAATATATATATAGCTGATGAGAGCTAAATAGCTAAATAGTTTGAAATAGATCTATACTAATCTCCCTTTATTTATTTATCAGCACAAATGCAACACAAATCTAACAAGGCAACATAAAAAATGACTTTCTGCCTGGATGGCTCCTAGGGTGAGTCGATAGACAGAAAAGGGAAGCAGTATGCCCCCTCCCATATTTGGGCATACCAGGGGTTGTGACACACACACATGTGTGTGTGTGTATTGTGTGTTGTGTGTGTGCTGATAAATAAATAAAGGGAGATTAGTATAGATCTATTTCAAACTATTTAGCTATTTAGCTCTCATCAGCTATATATATATTGATTCATGCTGGTTCCTCTGTAATAGTGCAAAAAGGTAATCATTTGT